CAGGTGGTGGCTAGCCACGTGCCTCTAGGTGCTGGGAACGGAATCTGGATCCTCTGTAAGATGAACAAGTATTCTTAACTTCTGAGCCATCTGTCCAATCTCATAATTAACACTTTACCAACAGTGTCTTTTATTTGTTTGTTTTTGAAATTTTGCCAACATTGTTTCCGTTGGCATACTTGAAATTACTGTGACTTTGCTAGAGACATAATAGCTTATCCTGTTTTGTTTTGTCTTTTCCAGTTTTTTTTTCCCCTTTTTTGTTTTGTTTTGTTTTTGAGACAGGGCTTTTCTGTGTATCCCTGGCTGTCCTGGAACTCACTCTGTAGACCAGGCTGGTCTTGAACTCAGAAATCTGCCTGCCTTTGCCCCTGAATGCTGGGATTAAAAGCATGCACCACCGTGTTTTTAACGTCGTGTTCCTAATCACCACAGTGGGTAATTATCTTTCCATGTGATTGTTAACTATTTAGGTTTCTTGTTTTATGAGGTACCTATTAATATAATTTCTCATATCCTTTTATTGATTTGGTTTTTTCCTATTAATTCATAGGCATTATTTTTCTTTGAAACTAGCTCTTTATCAATTTTACATATTCCCGTTGCTTCCTAATTTCTGGCATGGTTGTTGCTGGCATCTTTTAGTTACACTAATGAGATTTAAGAACAAAATGCAGAGAAGAGTTTTTCTGGACAAAAAAGGAACAAACTGAAAGTTATAGACAAGAAACGTGCATGAGTGTGCATATGTGTGTGTATGTTTGAGAATGCGTGTCTGTGAGTGTGTGTGTGTATGTATGTGTGAATGTGTGCATGAGAATGTATTACTTTATGTCTGTATGTGTGTGAGTATATGTATGTACGTGATGTTTTAAAAGGAAATTTGTGCCATTAAAGAGAAGCCATGCATCCAGTGCTATAGCAACAGGAAATGTACTTAAATGCATCTCGGGAATCAGCCAGACCCTACCATCACAGGCTCCAAAGCATAGAATTAAAAACTCATTTGGGAAGAAATTGCTCCTAGGATTCCCAGGGAAGTATTTTCCTGGGTTCTCTTCCCCAAGTACCCAGAGGCTGCTGATTCAAGGGGGGCCGGGTAGCTACTACTTAAGCTAGTAGCGACTTTGTCATCCGTATAGTCCAGGGTTTTCAGGCATAAAAAATGCAATGGTTACTGGCGTCCTAGTAATTTCTACTGAGACTCCAGAGAGAAGCCTGTGGGTCCAGGCAATGGGTAGCATGTTTGGCCTCGGAGATGATGATATAGAAAGCTATAAGGGTAAAAACACCTACTGGCAACAGAGACTCCAGAATATTAGAGGCACCAAACACAAAGAGTATCTGCCAAGGAAGCTGAAGGCAACCAGACGCGGACTCAATCCATGACGAAGCCGTGTGGCTTGCAAAGCAGGGCCACAAGGCAGTGTTGCACAGACCTGGGGCTTACATGCTGGCACTGCACACCGGGCAAGGAGCTGCACGAGCCAGGGTTTGCCTCACTGTGTCGCACGCTTTCTTTGGCCGAATGTCTTTCTATGGTCCTGTGCTTCCCTTTCGGGACGGGAACGTTCTCTCTGTGCCACCAAGTTTTAAAAGTATGTGATTTATTTTGATTTTAGAAGGGCTCATGGCTGATTACCTTGGAAATTTGGAACTTGGGAACAACATTAGAACTGTTCAGCTTATGGGAGCTCTTGAACTGCACTTCATTTGATATTCAGAGCCGGCCATGAACCTTTCGGGGAGGGGTCAGCGGCAGAATGCTAGGGCTTGAATCTGAAATGCCTCCCACAGGTAGGTGGCACTGTTTGGGGAGTCATGCGAACTCTGGAAAGTGAGCCTTGAGCGAGGGAAATAGGTCATACTCTCTGCTTCCTGGTTGGCCACGCAGTAAAAATAGCTCTCCTTGTCCATATATTCCTGCTGCTGCGATAGTCTGTCTAACCATATGAGGCCAAGCAATCATAGATGGAACCCTTTAAAACCAGACCAAAATAAACCTTTCCTCCATTAAATAAAATGATCTGGAACAACTGGAGCCACATATCAGAAGATCCACTCAGAACCTCACCTCATACCACACATAGGAATCAACGCAAAATGGCTCCTGGATTTCACTTCAAGAGTTAGAACAACAAAGTTCTTAGAAACAAAAGAAACATGGACACTTCGAGAGTTTGGGTTAGAACATGTTTCTTTATCTGCTCTTGAGTTCTTGTCCTGATTAAATACAGTGTGTATGTGTGAGAGACAAGTGTGTGTGTGAGAGACAAGTGTATACAATGTAGGTGACCACAGACACAGCCACTTTCAATGGTGAAAGAGTCCACTGGGATGGGTGACTAGAATCTAAGCAATCAGTGACGCAGAAATGTTGCATGAAAATAGGTAGGGGTGAGTTGCGGCAAGTCGGAAGAGCCAAAGCTTGGTGGGTGGTACTTGAGACGGAACCATGTAGGCCTTAAATGAATCCCTTCTTCCAATACTGCACAACGAATACTCACATTTAAGGCAAAGAACCCTGGGCTGCCAGCAGTCCAGGTATCTATAGAGAGGCGAATCTTAGTTTATCAGAAAAACAAGATATAATAATGTTCACCATAAGCCAGACATGGTGGCACACGCTTTTAATCCCGGGGAGGCAGAGGCAGGTAAATCTCTATGAGTTTCAGGCTACCCTGGCCTACAAAGGGAGTCCAGACCAACCAGGATGACAAGAGAAACTCTGTCCCTAAAAACAAAGCAAACAAACAAGTTTGCCATGATACCATAATGCCACCACGGACTCCTTACAGCTTGTTACATTCAGTCTGTGTCAGAAGAAGTAATGGCTGGTGTGTGCACACATGAGTGGATCTTTTTGGAAGTCTTCCTTGTGGCACCTTCTAGAGAGCCATTTTCTTCTGGTAAACTATCTGAATTGCACCCAAATCTGCTCTCAGTGAACCTCAGGGTCAGATTACCCCTTCCACCCCCACACAGAAACACTGAAATAACGTTTGGCCACTTGTGTTTACTGAGTCAGTCGGTGACCTTATCTCCCTCCTTGCTTCTGCCTCCTCACGGCACTGGGGGACCCCAGGCTTTGTAAAAGACTCCTTTCTCATTTCAGAACGACAACAAAAAAATTGTTTTCAAAATATATTTCCCGGTATGATTAATCTTAGTGCTTATGACAGATTAATATTTTTCCTTATTCTCAGGGGACAGCTTGTTAGTTATCCATCTAGCCTGCCTTGAAAGCTAGCATAGTTTATTGTTTTTTAATCCCTTCTACAAGTGGTTTTAAATCATGGGCATTGTTAGGCAAGAACTGGAACTGATAAGATTCTTAGAATAATCAACATTTGATATGCATTTATTGGAATAAAGTAAATGTCAATTTTTAACACCATAGTTAAAGTTTCCATTTTATTATCTCCAAGGTCTCAGGGCAGATAACATGCCATAAAAAACCATCAAATCACTAAAATAATATTCTAGGATAGCCATGCAGGCATGCTGCTGATGTAATGAAGACTGGTCTTTCAATGCCAGGAGCCAAATGCCAAACTTTTTTCTTTCTTGAATAGCTAGTGACATGATGTTCTTTCATTTATTTTAGAAAGAAATGGTCTGTCATCTTAGGTAATAGGCTCTGTCAAAATATACTAGACAGTTTAAAAGTTAGACCTTGTTATTCAGGATGAGGCAGAAAGATACGTTCTGCTGACATTTGCCTTGTTATACTTGCATTTCTGTGTACATACTCTAATACTCGCTTGCATCTTGTTAAAAGTACAGTTTACCAGATCATGAGAAGTACACCTAAAACCCGAAAGCAGCATGGTACGTGGCTATGAAGACTCCCCCAAAGTCAAGGACATAAGAAGTTAACATATCAGATGGGTAAAACAGTACCAACAAAGGTGCTGGAAAAGAATTCATACACTCTTTTGAAGTACTTTTCTTATTGCCTAAGATGTAGGCAAAAAGACCTATGTTACTCCTGAGTAATTTTCTCAAATAATCAATAGCTCATCAGCCTTCGGCATTGGTCACTTGGTTCCCCTGAAGTCCTCCCTGACCTCGGGTCCTGGCCAGTGTTGTATAAGGGAAGAGTTTTTAAAAGCTGGCCTCTTACCCAGTTTGTTCCCATCAAATCGGCCAGCCATTCCTAAGCACTAAGATTTTTATCTGGTTATTTGTAACTGAGCTCATGTAGCATTGAAAACTAGATCCTGGCTTCATCCCCTGCAACTCACAGTCCACCCGGGAACCTTGCTCATGCAGCTAGTCTGCTGTTCTCTTCAGTCATCCAAGGGGCTTTGGGGGTTGTTTGGTTTTTCTTTTTTTTTTTTTTTTAGAGGGCCTTGTTTTCCTGGTGGCCTCCATCCCCTCTGGCCCTTATGCCCTTTTCACCTTCTCTTCCATGGGGTTCGCTGACGTCTCCGAGTCATCTCAGGGTTTAAATAGAGTTCTGTTCTAGGATTCTAGTCTCCATGAGTGTGCCCCAGTGAATGCTGCCCTGTGGCTGTGCTTTCTGATCTCTGCATGCTCTCTACTGTCCAAGTCCCCCGGCGTCCCATTCTACGCTTTGCCTGAATCTTGTGTCCACTGTCAGTTCTTTGCTCCACTCTGGTAGGACTGTTGAGACCTATTCCTGGTTCCCCAGAGAATTACCGTCTCTATCTGAGTTCTGATTTTAATAGTAACTCAAGTTGGTATTTTTATTTTGTTTCTTATTTTTCAAGACAGGTTTTCTCTGTGTAGTCTTGGCTGTCCTGGACTTGCTTTGTAGACCAAGCTGACCTCAAATTCATAGCAATCCACCTGCCTCTGCCTCATGAGTGCCGGGATTACAGGTGTGCACAGCCACACCTGGCTTTCAAGTGGTATCTTAATAGTACTTAAATCCTAATGCATTTGAAAACATCTTGCCTGAAGCAGCTAAGCAAGTTCAAAGCTACTTCACAAATACATGTCTGTCCTCACAGTATCATGAAACTGCTTCATACCTGTCTGACTGAAGCCTGCTTTGTATCCGTTAGCTGTTCCGTTTTCTGGAGCCACGGCTGATGACACTGAAGAAATAGGTTTAGTGGAGTGGCAAATAGCAGAGGATTGTCGGCTTCTACATTCTAGGAGGGAGGAAAACATGTGATATGAAGGAGCCGGTTTTTATTTTAACAGGCAATGGGGGCACAAACCGTAAGATCTCATAGACAAGTTTCTGCCTCTTGGATGGTAGCATCTTTGCTAATTACTGCCTCTAACGGCCTGTTCAGACTGGTGAACAGTTTTCCTACACCAGGTGTGATGCTTAAGGCAAAGAGCAATCACAATTTTATGGCCCACAGATAAGTTCCCACACAAAAAGTGTCGGTAACCAGCACAGTCAACAAGACTGTGCTGGTTTTATGGGTAAGACAGAGGCTAAAATGTCAATAATTTATAAAGACATATTAAGCCTTTTTGATACCAGGTAACTTCTTGCTCATAATTTATTTAAATGCATAATAGTGACTTTGAAACCACCCATGCTGCTTTCAGACTTTTCTATTCAATCTTAATGAATATTCAAAGAGGAGAAATAAAAACTGTATACATAGAAGAGAAAAATTAGAAGCAAATGATTATCATTACTTCTTATTAAATGACATAGGTCAGTGGTATTCAAAGCAATTATTAATAATGCCATGGCAAGCTTTGCCTTAAGGATGTGATATTAATAGGGTTCTGAAGCTACTTTAAAAAAATGGCCTGTGGGGTAGTTCAGAGAGTAAGGCTGCTTACCACCAAGCCTGGCATAGAAGTTCAGTCTCTGGGACCACACAGTGAAGGGAGGCAACAGATTCCCACAGGTTTTTTTTCTTGGCATCCACATGTGCTGTGGCTGCACACACACACACACACACACACACACACACACACACATACACACACACACACAAGCGCATGCCTACACACAAACACACGCACGCACGTGTGCACACACACAAACATGCACACACACGAATCAATCAATTCAAGTGAAAGTGTTATCCTTCACTAGAGAGTGGAACTTCTTGAGCACCAAGGGTATTTATGCAAAACAAAAGCTAAACAAAACAGTTAAAGCCTAGAGAGATGCTGCTTATCTTGTTTCCTCTTTATTTAGGGTTTATGGCATTGGAAAAGATTTTCCAGAGGAAAATTGTTTAGACTTTGCCAGGATAAAGAGCTGTGAGTGATATTCTTAAGATTCAGTCCTTGTAAGATTTAAGCTCTGATGACAATGGCTTGGGACATGTAGCATCATTTCCCGTGCCTTTATATAATGTCACCTCAGATGCAGCCAAGAGTAATTATGGTGGAGGCCGCAGAGACAAATGTGCTACTACAATTAGATTTATTATGCTATCCCATAGTCAAGTAAAAAAAAAAAATCTGTGTAGGCAAGAACAGTAAAGACAATTATTTTATGGAGAAAAAATTCTCAGTGTCAAAGAAACTGCATCAGGATAAAGCTGTGGCAATTACTACCAAGCACATGAAGATGCGGCTTGCTACAGATTGTCGAGCTAAGCTGTTGCTAATTCCAAAGAACAAAACTGTCCACCCAGTCACTCGCTTCCCCAGGCATCCAGAAGACCGCATTGCTATTTGGGTTATGTTTTGGTAAAATAAAAATAGAGAAATGTAATTGCTGATGATTACTATCAAACTGAAATAAAGCAACGGGAACATTTTACTCTCAGGTTCTCTCTATGAAGACATCCAGAGATGCACTGCCCAGCCCCGGGGCCGCATGCCTTCTCTGGAGAAAAACAAGAGCCTTGCACTTTACTAACTTTCCTCTACTCAAACGCTTCACTTAATTATAACAAGGGGCAAGTCAAGCGACCTACCGGGGCTTCACATTTTTGAGCAGCCTTTTGAACTTGAGCTATTTATCTGCTCCACACCTGTCCTCTGAGCGCTGCACGGGTCACTCGTCAGCACCGCAGAACCCCCTCCCGCCGGAGTCTGATTACCTTTCCAGCAGATGAGAGGTCCCTTTGAGAGCACGCCCTGGGAGGTTCTGACTAGGTAGTACTTTAAGTGCTTCTGCTTCTTTGGCTGGGTGGTGAGCTTCAAGTTAATGTGGTTGGAAAATTCTGTGAAATAGCGAAATCCTCTTTCTCCACAACCGATACAGTTTCCGGAAAACCCTGAAAAGGGGAAAAGCCAATGTTACTAGTGGCCTTGTAAGTTGATACTGTACTTATAAATGTAAAAAGTATAAAAAACATTTACAGTCTATGAACCAACAGTCTCAACTTTTAGGAAATACTGTTTTCGGCAGAGTCTTCCCGACCCCCATCCTTACCTTTCGTTTTTAAATTCTTTAGACACAATTGCAAAGAAACCAATGCTTATATAAGCTAGTACTCAGTTCAAAAAGGAAAGTTAAGATTGCTCCAATGCTGTTTTCTAACATGAAATTCACAGTCAAGGTATTACAACAGAAGAATCATTTCTATAACACAACAAGGCTGGGAATACGTTAAATGCCACTATAACAGGAGAACGGCTAAGAAAATGAGTAGTAAGTATCATGTACGGAATTTAAACAGTGTATAAAGACAGGAGAATTGGTTTGGGGCTGAAGCGTGTAGCTCAGTGACAGGATGCCTGCCTAGCTGTGTAAGACCCTGAGACAGAGCCCCAGCCCTTTCCTGGGAGAGGAAGGAAAGAAAGAAGGGAGGAGAAAGGGAGGAAGTGGGGGAAGGTTTGAAGGAAAAGAAAGATGAAAAGAAACACATTTTTGTCTTAAAGCTCTTCGTGTTTTCATCCTGAATGTTCTTTTCTTAAGAACCTACTGAGGAGAGACAATGTCAAAGAATATGCTATACCTAAATGTCATCTTTATGAAGCCTGTCACTTTGTATAATGAATTAACAACTGTGGGCATAAGGTTATAGTGTAATTCAAATGCTGATTTCTGTACCTCTCATATCTGGTTGCAAACCTTGTTCTGAGAATCTCCTGGCGCATTGTTATATAAACTCTGCTCCCCAATTGTCCCCTGATCTGCCAATAAAGCAGCTTACAGCCAATCATTGAGCAGGGGAGAGAGTTGGGCTGGACTTCCTGCTAAGCAGGGAAAAGGAGTTGGAGGAGGAAATAGGGGATTCAGCTGGGGAAAGGGCCAGAAGACATCAGCAGAGAGGAGCTGCAGCAGAAAAAGCTACAAAGTGCAGGTATCTCTGGGATGTAGGCTGGGAGGAAACCAGATTTGCTTAGAGGGTTAAGAATAGAGTAATAACTGCTCAGTTATTGTGTTGTAAAGTTTATTATTAAGCAAATATAAAGGAGTTTCAATTATTTGTGTGATAGCTGGGTTAGGAGAGAAACAAACATAGTTTTATAAAAATAACTTTAACAAAAATAATAAAAACTTTAACTTAAAATATCACTGTTTTATTTTTATTACTTAAAATTATTTAATCATTAAAAACTTGCTATTGATTATTCTAAATATATATTAAAGAGCCTGTGGGTCCTACTCTTGGTTTTTTTCCTGGCTCACCACAGTAGCTTTTCCCAGAGACCTACAGTTTATGAATGTATGCTAAGTAGCTGACCCAATATGGGACAGTTAGAATCTCTCTTCTAGAATTTTATCTAGATAGTACTGGACCTTAGATTTGTAAGGGTTTGTAAAATTGGAACACATATGTGGTTCATCTCAGCTACACATGAACACCGGTTTTGGAGAGAATAAGCTGAGGACTGTGAACAGGAAGCTGGAGAGCACAAGAGAGAAGGCAGCATGGACAAATCTGTGTGATGCTGAGTTCCGCCAGCTAGGCACGGGCTCTGTGAACTTCCCATTTCTTCTTTATTCACCCCTCTTTACTCACCTGAGCTTCTTATTTTTTATATTGAATGCCTGAACAATCCCTTTGACTAATTAAGCAGACTGAGACTCTCAGTGGCCTGGCTGGAACAGATGTGGAAAGGGAAAATGGAGAAGGCTGGGAGCATGAGAACCCATGCACTGCTTTATGAAAAACCAGCCGTCAGCACCTTTAATACACAGAAGAAGGGAAAACCAGTAAGACAGTGAGTTCTGCCACTCACACCTGAGGAAACAGAACATATGCACATCATACAGATGAACAGGACAAAGGGCGGAGACAAGGAACCTTACATCCTGTGTAAAGACCATGTACCTGTCTACAGCAACTGAAAGTAAAACTGCTGACAAACTGGTAGTTTTCAAGCCCCGAAACCAACCTGCTCTATATTAACAAGGACAAAGAGAGAAAGAAAGGCCACAAGGATAAAAAGAAAATTTTACAATATCTCTATTGAAGAATGCCAGTGATTCAAAGCACTTATAAATGGGCTGCCAATGTTATTACTCTAACAGTTATTTACTAAACACCTTCTGGTATAGACTAGAGGAGAATGATGAGTGAGAGATAACCACAACATCTGCTTAATTAATAATTTAATTATTAGTTTATTTCTGTCATTTTATTAAGTAATGGGCATTAATATAAATGACTTGGAATGTATTCAGAGCATTGTAGCAGAGAATATCTGTGCATTTCTCAATTGTTGAAATCAAGGCCAATAACAATAAATAAAATGACTGTTTAGTTCACCAAGTTCCTGTAGCCATCCATCCATCTATCCATCCATCTGTCCATCCATCCACCCATCACACATCCATCCCTCTGCATATCCATCCATCCAATTATCCATCCATCCTTCCATCCAATTGTTTATCCAACGGCCCAGCCATCCATCTGTCTGTCCATCCATCCAACCAACATAATCTGGCAGTGCTTTTTGTCTTAGGAGAATCCTTCTAGTCATGAAGAACCATTGATGGATTTTGTGTCATTTTCAGGGTTTTTAGTCAGAACTACACCTTATCTGTTCTGATGCGAGAGACTATAATTCTTTTAAAATACACAATATGTTTTCCAAATTGTTCTGCATCACCAATGCTTCTTATGTGAATGAGTGAAAGGACTGTCCCTTATCACTTATGTGTGGCCAGGTCATAGCTTAGCTTAATTTTTAGTACACAGACTATTCTGAATAACTCCTGCTGAGTGAAGAAATGAGTGGTCAGACCTTTGTTAATTTACTACAGTGAATAAGCTTTACCATTAAATTTCTGAATTAAACTATATGCTTAAATTCATTAAATAAAAAGTGAATGCTCTATTGCTGTTGGTGTTCAGTTCTGGGGTTCAAACTGAGGACCTCTATCACTGAGCTACACCTCCAGACTTCATTTTTTAAATTCTTTATTAATTACACTTTATTCACTTTGTATCTCCCCCATGGTTCCCTTCCTCCTCCCATCCCAATCCCTCCCTTCCTCCACCCCCTGGATGCATGCTCCTTCCCAAGTCCACTGATAGGGGAGATCTTCTTTTCCTTCCTTCTGATCCTAGTCAATTAGGTCTCATCAGGAGTGGTTGCATTGTCTTCTTCTGTGGCCTGGTAATGCTGCTCCCCATTCAGGGGGAGGTAATTAAAGAGCAGGCCAATCAGTTCATGTCAGAGACAGTCCCTGTTCCTATTACAATGGAACCCACTTGGATACTGAACTGCCATGGGCTACATCTGTGCAGGGGTCTTAGGTTATCTCCATGCATAGTCCTTGGTTGGAGTATCAGTCTCAGGAAAGACCCCTGTGCTCAGATTTTTTGGTTCTGTTGCTCTCCTTGTGGAGTTCCTGTCCTCTCCAGATCTTACTGTTTCCCACTTCTTTCCTAAGGAAATCATGAAATTTGCAGGTAAATGGTGGGATCTGGAAAAGATCATCCTGAGTGAGTTGTCCCAGAAGCAGAAAGATGCACATGGTATATACTCACTCATATAGACATATAATATAGGATAAACCTACTAAAATCTGTACACCTAAAGAAACTAATCAAGAGGGAGGACTCTTGCTAAAATGCTCAATTCCTATCCAGAAAGGCAAAGAGGATGGACATCAGAAGAAGGAGAAAAGAGGGAACAAGTCAGGAGCCTGACACAGAGGGCCTCTGAAAGGCTCTGCCCTGCAGACTATCAATGCAGATGCTGAGATTTATGGGCAACCTTTGGGCAGAGTGCAGGGACTCTCAGACTTCATTTTTTAAAAACAGGTCTAACTGTGCAGCCCAGGGTGACCTTGAACTCTTGATCCTTCTGCTTTTCTCTCTGGTGCTAGGATCATAGATGTGTGCACCTGTGCCCAGTATGTATTTTTGACACTCGTAGGAAACATGAAAATGACCAATAAGTGTTAACCAATAGACAGCTCTGAACTATAATTTAAGAAGATTTCATATAATCCTGGCAGAGGCAGGTGGATCACTTGTGGTCTACGTAATGAATTCCAATTCAGGGCCACACAGCAACATCTTGTCAAGAGAGAAAGAAAGAAAGAGTGAGGAGTGTTGAGGAAGGGAAGAGACTCTATATAGCGGACTTTAGGGTCACTTTCTGTCTTCCAATATTGACTAATGTTTTTCAAGGCTTTCTGATCTTAAATAATTTGGATGACTACATCAAACTAAAACAAAATCAACTCACAATTAATTCTGTGTCTCCATTTATTTATTTATTTATTTATTTATTTATTTATTTATTTATTTATTTATTTATTTATTTTTCAGTGTTTCAAGACAGGGTTTCTCTCTGTAGCCTTGGCTGTCTTAGACTCACTTTGTAGACCAGGCTGGCCTCAAACTCATAGAGATCTTCCTGCCTCTGCCTCCCCAAGTGCTGGGATTACAGATGTGTGCCACCAAGCCTGATTTTTTTTCTTTTTCTTTTTCTTTTCTTTTTTTTAACTGATATTTACACTTTAAAGGTATGAGCCCATCTAAATAAAAGGAATTCTGAGAAGTAAAACGTCTACAAAAACCAGCATCAAAAGAGTAACAAAGCTCATATACCTACCTACTTGTCTTTTTATTACAAAACAAATAAATAACCAGTTAGGTGTGGTGGTGTGCACCTTTAATCCCAGCACTATGGAGATAAAAGCAAGTGGATCTCGATGAATTTGAGGCCAGTCTGGTCTATTTGGCTTTCCAGGCCACCCTATCTAGATCCAAAGCAACACAGTGAGATCCTGTCTGTTGTAGTTAGGGTTGCTATTGTTGCAATGAAACACCATGATGCAAAGCAAGTTGAGAAGGAAAGCGTTTGTTTGGCTTATGTTTCTACAACATAGCCCATCACCAAAGGAAGTCAGGACAGAAACTCAAATGGGGCAGGAACCTGGAGGCAGGAGCTGATGCAGAGGCCACAATGGATGCTTACTGGCTTGTTCTTCAGGGCTTACTCAGCTTGTTTTTTTTTTTTTTTTTTAAGAAACCAGAACCACCAGCCCAGGGATGACATCACCCACAATGGTCTGGGCCTTCCCTCCCCCATCAATCACTAATTAAGAAAATGTCCAGAAAAAAGAAAATGTCCTACCTTTGGATCTTATGTAGACATTTTTTTTTTCTATTGAGGGTTTCTCCTTTCAGATGAGTCTAGATTATGGCAAGTTGATATAAAACTAGCCAGGACACATCTCAAAACAAGGCAATAACAAAGCCTACCCAAAACACCAAATCCACTCTTTTTTTTCTCATGATGTAGTAGAGTTATTTTGTGAAAAGCCAAGATTCTAAGCCATACCAGGAAGTAAAATAATTCTGACATATTGTTAAACATTTAATAGCATTTTCATATTTTTTGTTATTTTAGGTGAATTGTTTATAAATGTAAAATGAGAACTATCTGTTAGTTACCTTTTGGTCACTGTGATAGACTGATGACAGAAATAGCACAAGGGTGGGATGGTTTATCTGACGTAAGGCTCAGGGGATGCTGATCAAGGAGGGGAGGAAGAGGCTGGAGCAGCTCCTGGCTGAGCAACAGCAGTGTGAGGCACCCGTTCTATTGTAGGAGCTCTTCAACCAGGCCCTACTTCCTAAAGGTTCCACCACCCCTCAGGACAGCTCTACCCGGGGAAACCAAGTGCTCAAACAAAAGAGCCTGTGGGTCCCATTTTAATATAACTTCTATTGAGTTCTTTGACAATTTCATATATATGAAATACATTCTGATTACTATGCTCCCCTCTAATTTCCCTGATGGAGACATTTTACATTCAGACTAATCATATCTATGAAGTATTAGGTAGTGTTGAAAATACCTTACAAAGGAAATGACTCACAAACAAATACTTGAGAATTGATGTCAGTTCATATCAGTGACTATAGAGAGCACACTTCACTTTATTTAATAAAACACATTTTTTTTTTTACGTAGCTGCGGATGAAATTGAGAGAATTACATGTGCTAAGCAAATACTCTACCTGAGACATAAAACATTAAACTTTGATAAACTGCATGCTGCTTTTTAATTTTCTCAAGAAGTTTTACGTGTCTATTTTTTTTGATGAATGTGAACGGTTTTATTCAGAAACAGATAGGTACCTGTTTGCATTACAGAATATAAAACTTGGTTTACATTCTATAAAAAAGAACCAATACGCAGATTCAGGAGAGCTTAACAATCACAGAGCAGACCCTATGGGCATGCAGCCGTTGCTCACTGCTTAGACTCGATTTAAGCCAGAAACCCAAACCCCAGCACTGTGGAGATGAGACCACAGGTGTTGCTGCTGAGCGCCCCATGTCTGGAATACGCCATCCTAGCACACTCAGCTTTCTGGTGAAGCATGTGACTGTCACATCAGTGCTAGGCTCTGTGTGTGATGCAGCCTTTCTTAAGTCAGGCTTGGTGGCATGAATTATTTCTTGTCCCCTGAACAACAGCTGGGGTGAAGCTACCCCACCCGGGCCCTTTACCACACCTAGCAGCCCACCCAATGGGACTGTGGAAGAGCAAAGGGTGGGTCCTTCAGATGTGATCATCACCCAGCACCACCCGGATTATTATCCAGAGATGTAGGCGACCATACAGATTATAGAGACCTGCATTTTTTTAGTCACCTGAGGGTTAAAGACTCGGAGTACAATAATTTTTAGGAGGCCCATCAGCAAGGTGCCAAAATATGGGTAAATGGAGTTGGCAAAGATATTTTTTTTAAATAAGGATGGCAACATGTCTATTTTTGACAATAAAAATATATATTTAAGTTATTGAGAGAAAAAAATTTCTGTTTGAAACTAAATCATTTAAACTCCAATTCAGTGACATACAGATACACATATAAAATTCTCTGATAATTTTTAATAAACATGTATTTCAGCTCCCTCCTCCTGGAAGGACTTTTATAGGCATTAAACACTCACCTAAAAGTGCATTTTTTCCATGGTCATCTGGTAGAAATCGCTTGTCCACAGCACAAACTAGGATGTGTTCAGGGAGATTGGGAGATTTGGCTCCCACCAGGAGGAACCCCGCCGGTATGTCAATTTGTTCCATACACAGTGATACCAAACGCAAATCCTTTCCTGCTTGACAAAACCCTAGAACACAGAAGAGAACAGCAGAGCACTTAGGCCAGGTAATACCTCCTTCCCCTGCACTGGGAGACTAGAGTTATCTCCTCCAGAAGGAAGGAAACTTATTCAAAGTTATATAATGTGTCCAGTGAAGTTTAGTGATAGAAGATATGGGAGGTTTGTTATATAGGAAAAACCGAGAACACACTCTTCAACCTGGCAAAAGACGAGCTAAGAACTAAGTATGACACTACGTGACTAGGATCCGCTTGGGGGCAGGTGCAGGCTTTTCCATCAAATTACAAAATACCAGGGGCTGGGGAGAAGGCCAGGTTGTGAAGAGTGCCTGCTGCTTTTGCAGAGAACCTGAGATTACCTCCCAGCACCCACAGGGCACCTGATCACAACCACCCGTAAGTCAAGTCCGACGGATTTGTACTATCTATAACGTCAAGCACATATAACCCCACACAGAGATAGAGCATATACAATTTAAAATAAAACTTGGGGGCTGGAGAGATGGCTCAGGGGGTCTTCCAGAGGACCTGAGTTCCATTCCTAGCACCCACATGGCAGCTCACAACCATATGAGATCATATGCCCTCTTCTGGTGTGTAGGTGTACATGCAGTCAGAACATTGTATACATAATAAATAAATAAATAAATCTTTAAAAAATGAATAAAACTTAAAATTTTTAAAACGTACAAAGTACTAAACTAGGAAGCATTGAAAGTACTGAGGGGAGTATCAAGATTGCTCATCCAAGAGATTACTAATTGGCAGTAAACCTAGAACACAACCCGCCTAGGAAGTACGTCTTCACTATAAGTATGGGCTGCTTCAAGAAGTGGGGCAAAACTACGTGCCAAGCAGAGTGGACTAACCGTTGATGAGAAGTGTATGATTGGCTGTCCCTTGAACTGCATCTCTGGGAGCTGCCTTTGTCTCTAAGACTGGAGCAGTGAGTCTCCACAAACGGAAAGAGATGACAACCCCAGCCTGTACCAATCATAACAGTACTGCATTATTATAGTTCTATAAACCCTAAGGTTAGGCCTGGAGGTGAGGCTCAGGGGTTAAAAGTACTGGCTGCCCCGGGTGGGTTGATACCTCGGAAAGTCTCCCCTTCTCTGGGAAGAAAAGGAAGGACATTGGGGGGGGGTGGAGGGAGGGACTGGGAGGAGATGATCCTATCAGGATGTAAAGTAAATAAATAAATTAGTTAATGAAAAAAAAAAGAAATGTGGTGAATGAACAGAGAGAGACAGACAGACAGAGAGAGCGAGTACTGGCTGCTCTTCCACAGGTGTCCACAGTTTGGTTCCCAGCACCCGTTCTGGGAAGCTCACAACTGTTTTTAACTCTCGCTTCAGGGGATCTAGTGCCCTATTCCGGCCTCTGTGGCTTCATGTGCACATATCAACACACACACAAACACACATTTTCAAAATAAAATAAATCTTTAAAAAATAAAAAAAAAAAAAAAACCTCTCCTTAGGGCCACCCAGTACATTGTTGCTTAACAGATGGCTCATGTAAGTTCAGGGTCCAAAAAGACATTCTAAGACATGTGGGGTTACATGTAAAATTTATCTTAATTTTTTATTGCTAGTGTGTGTGTGTCTATGATATGGGGGCTTACGTGTGCCACAGCATGCATGTGGAGACTAGAGAACAACCTTGTGCAGTTTCTTCTCTTTTCACGTGGATTCTGGAAACAAACCCAAGTCGTCAAGGCTTCCTCAGCAGTGCTTTCACCTGCTGGGCTGCCTCTTGGTCTTACTAATTTTTAATGAGTGAAATGTGAATAGGCACCGTTATCATTTCTTTCTTAAAACCTCCCTTTAAAACAGTACATGGCCTTTTGTTCAATACTTGTCAAGTGAGCAAAACTAGTTAAGTGATCTCATTTAACTCATTTAGACAAAGCTCATTCTCACTGTGTCGTCTCTGCTATTTTATACACTTTCACATCATTTTCAGCATTCGTGTAACAGGCTGCTGCTTAACGTTGGGAAGTTCAGATAAACACAAAAGGGTAATTTTACTGAGGCATCCAACTGTGACCATTGGGTATATGAAGTTGAACTGATCACCCTCACTCATTCAGACATCTCCCCTTAATACGGAGCCACTGGAAACTGAGAGTTGCTGGAGAGAGATTCACTCTTTTTCTTTTTTTAAAATCTTATTTATTTATTTGTTTATTTATTTATTATGTATAATACCAGATCTTATTATGCACCAGAACTCATTATAGATGGTTGTGAGCCACCATGTGGTTGCTGGGAATTGAACTCAGGACCTTCGGAAGAGCAGTCAGTGCTCTTAACCTCTGAGCCATCTCTGCAGCCCAGACTCACTCTTTTTTGAGTGGGTTTTCATTGGGAGGTTTCCCAGGCTGCGGTTTGTGGCTCCACGCACCACACATGTGAGAAGCACTAACAATTCATGTTATCAGAAAAAAAAAACCATGAAGTGAGGAGTGGGACACATTGGGGAGATTGAAGGAGAAATGGGAAGTTGGAAATAATTATATCTCATCGTATACATGTATGAAATTCAAGAATAAGGAAAGCTATGATTTATTACAATGTTAGAAATGGGAATGTGCCTTAGTAAAGCAGTGTACCTAACATGTGCAAGGCCCTCATTTAGTTCCTAGTAACACACAGGCACACACATATCCATAAACACACACACACACACACACACACACACACACATATATACACAAAACCAGTAAGATTATATTAAATGTGTCAACATGATTTTAGATACCAAAATTAAATTAATGTTTGTTTTGTTTTATTTTGAAACTCTATGCAGCTCCGGCTGGCCTAGAACTTGCCAAGTAAATCATGCTGGCCTTGAATACACAGAGAGCCACCTTTCTCTGCCTCTCAAGCCCTGGGAATTAATACTATAACAATAAAAAATTAGCAATTACAATCCAGCCTAAATTTCGTTACATAGAGCAAAAATATAAAATTTTATATATTTAACCCCCAAATATATAGATTCCATATCGGAGGTGTTATATGGAGATCTGGGGTGGGGAACGAGGTTCAGTGGGGGAACATTTGCCTATGATGCTTAGGTCCAGGGTTCTATATCCAGAACTGGGGGGAGGGCTAGAGGGTTTCTTAAATGCTGAAAACCATTAAATCCATTTGTTTCTCCCAAAACAAAGTTGAATTTTCAACAGACATGCCCCTTTTTATATATCCAACTTAAAGTTAAACTGCAACTTTTGAATTACAAAAACTGTAGACAGTTGTATAGCATAAATATAAAAGAATATGTTAATATATTGGTTAGTCTAAAATAGGTGCTTTTTACTTAAAATTTTTTTATCATTCTGCAATGGTAGAATGAATGCTTGAGGAGTTCAAGGTGTCTATTTTACCAAAGGAGATTTATGACTTAAAGATTGAGGACACTAATCTATTCTAACCTCTTCAATATGTAAACGAGAAAAGGATCCAGGAAGGTTAACCTCATGTGCCAAGGCTAAATAGCCACAAACTAACAAAGAGGACACCACAACCCAGATCTCTAAGTGAGATGCTTCTTTAACTTCCACATCTGGCCGGAAAGGCCTAGACCAAAAATTCTAGAACTTTGGATACTAAGACAGAAGGACCTTGGATTCAAGGCTAGCCTGTGATAGAGAATGAGAATCTAGCTCATAACCCAAAACAAACAAACAAACAAACAATCAAGGAAAATCCCATGAACTCCCAAAACAGCAGTGATGTCATCAGCAACAAACGCCAGGAAAAAGTGGGCCAAAGAGATGGTTCAGTTAAGAGCACTTGCTGCTTTCACAGAGGACCCTAGCTTAGATCCTGGTACCCACCCAGAAGCTCATTACTGCCCACAACTCCAGCTCCTGAGGATGCCTTTTTCTGGCCTCTTTGGGTACCAGGTACTCATGTGGTGGGGTGCACAACACACACACACACACACACACTGATTTATGTTTAGATTATAACATTTCTTCTTTTTCTCTCCCTCCCCCCTCCTCCTGTAGGCCAAAGGTCCATGGCAGTTGTCTTCTTCAATTTTGATCTGCACCCTATTATTCTAACATAGGGCCCCTCACAGAACCTGGAGTTCACCAGTTGGCTAGACTGCCTGGTCAGTGAGCCCCAGAGGATCTACTTGTCTCCGTTGCTACTCTGCTAGGCTTACAGAGGTGTGTACCTAACTAAGCCTGTTTGTTTGTTTGTTTGTTTGTTTGTTTTTGTTTTATGTGGATCCTGAGAGTCTGGACTTGGGTCTTCATGCTCCCAGCTCTCACTCTACTGAGGGAACCCTCTCTCCAGTCCAAAGAGTGACACTTCGGATGAGATTTCTGTGGCAAAGAGTAGGAAAGGGGGAGCTACTATTCTGGCTTCTGGCTAAACAGAGTTGAGAAGGCACCAGGTGGAGAGGACCCAAAGAAAGTATAAGAAGTGTAAGTTTCCTTTCTTTCTTTCTTTCTTTCTTTCTTTCTTTCTTTCTTTCTTTCTTTTTCTTTCTTTCTTTCTTTCTTTCTTCTGTCTTTCTGTGAAAGCTATTATTTCAGAGTGATTTCTGTGGCAAAATGAAAACTACATAGCCCACTTAAATGAAGAATCACAAATAATTTTTAGTATTATAGACTTGAGGGTTCCTGGTTATGGTCAAAAGTAATAATCATTAAACAATGAATGGCCTCTATAAGAAGCACGCTTTCTAGACTTCTTAAAAACCTCAGTACCCAGGCTGGAGAGATGGCTCCAAGGTTAAGAGCACTGTTCCAAAGGTCCTGAGTTCAATTCCCAGCAACCACATGGTGGCTCACAACCATCTATAGTGAGATCTGGTGCCCTCTGCTGCCCTGCACTGTATACACTAAGTGAATAAACAAACAAACAAATCTTAAAAAGAAAAACCTCGGTACCTGAGACAATGGAAAGAGAAAATGTAGAGGGAGGTCTGTAAAAGGGTTGCAAGAACCAATCATTGGGAAGCTTCCAGTGTCTGAAAACGGAT